TTACAGCTAGTAAGAAGAAATAGGAAATGTGTCATTTAATTGTCAAATATATAATTCCTTGTGATTATAGTATCCATCAGGTGACATCAGTGTAGCACACAAACCAACTAAAGCCCTTACAAACATCTTAAGTAAAACAAAAGACCAAGTAGCCCTTTTCAGTAACCCAACTAGACTTGTGAATCTGGGCTTTCAAAATCCAGGTTACTATTAGATTAGATCACAGTAAAGTCCTAGGATTTTCAATGTCTTTTCTGACATGAGAAATCAACTGAATTTTAGCAGCCCAAATATGGTAGCCTTAATCTTTATATACAGACATACACACAAACATTTACAATGCAGTGCCTCTCATCATATCTGTTGGCATAATTTTCAGCTTTTAATAGTGATATTATTGCTTTTTGACAGTGGTTTTAGAGCTCCTTCTGATATGAATTCTTCAAAGCTGAAGCTTAATCCAGTCTTTATTACTTCTTTATGTGAGTTCTTAATAGAAATGAGATTCTAATAGCCAGAGTTTCAGTACTCTTCTTTCAAAGCATTTGCAAAATTTCTCCTGCCTAGAGTTTAAATTAGGATATTATAAAATGAGAAGGGATGAGGGGAACCCTGCTCTTCATAAAACTAGTGTTTTGTCTTTTATTTAACTTGGAGTTAAGTGTCATTAATCAATGGGATACTTATTTTTGAATAAATACATATAATATTTTTGATTTATGTATTAACTTGTTATGAAAATTTGGTTATCTTTCACCCAACGTTATATAAAAGAGAATGAGAAATAATTGCGGGTGATTTTTTAAATGAATTTTATAATTAAAATGTATTATACTATATAATCCATTTTAATTTTGATTAAAATTTAATCCCCTATTTTGTGTCATGTTTTATAGGATCTACTTATACCTAGGTGTTGTGACTCCAGGATTTGAATCTGTTCTGTTGGCAGATGTGAGCTCGAGTGAAGAGGATCTGGCAGTGAAATTTGAGCCTGCATTGCTGAGTGATTTTGAGGGTAGCCAGGATGAGGAAGTGGACTTGGCTATGAGAGACGAACCTAATTTATTGGAGCTGTCAGAGTCTTCTACCTCCCCCAAGTCTCCCTCTCTGATTACGCAGCAGCCGGTGGCAAATAATCAGGAAAACGTGCAAGAGGTTTCGGGTGAGGAGGACTTTGAGGGATCCTGACTTGATGTGAGAAATAGACGGAGATTGAGACGTCAGTCTCAATTGGGAAGGAGGCGTCGAGCCGATGATTAATTGATGAGACTAACACGCCCCCTTAGGGGATAAAAGGAAACGGATTGGCTTGAGAAATTTGCCAGAAGCAAAGTGTCTTGTTAGAGCGAAAGTACTGTGAAGATTATCTGAGGCATTGTGATTTATAGGCACTTCAGGATTGCCAAACAGATTTCAGAACTACTGCTGAGGACTGGAGAAACCGCAGCCGTTATCTTTGTTGGGGTTTGTTTTTGGTTGCTTATAATTTTGGAACTTTAGTATTGTGATTGCTCACCTGTGGATACAGGTGAGACATAACACCTAGGTATATATAAATCTAATCTAACTCTACAACATAAGTGATTTTGAGGGGTTATAAATCTGATTATAGTCATCTGTTCCTTCATTAAGTTATTTTTCTACTTATCTGATAGTAGTAGTAATAATTGCAAAAATAATATTTTTAAAAAGATTATATGGAAGTGCAATTTTTCATAAGAAAAGAAAACACAAAGCTGAATTTTTTATTCTTTATCTTTGTTTTATTTTCATTTCAGGATTTAGTTTGTTCCTCAGTTTAGATTTCATTCTTGCAGGTTCTTTCAAAGAATTCACTGAGCCTGTCTTTACTTAGATTTTATTCAAAATCACCAAATTTGGTGGGACAGGCCTGATTGAAAGGCATAAAATGGAAAGTTAATGATTCTTGAGATTGCAACCTTCTGAAAGTCTCCATATGTGTGTCTGTTTGTGGGTGCATATATACATGAACAGAGCAACTGGGAGAACCATTTTACTGACACTTGCTCTTAGAATTCAAATTATGCAGCTTTATAACATTTCTTTCTCTTTCCCTGTGTCCCATTTAATAACATATTTTATAGAATCAGGAGCAATAGTTCAGTGGTTAAAGATGCTGAGCTTGTCAGCTGGAAAGCTGAAAGCCCAGGTTTAAGATCCAAGTGCTCACAATGGTGTAAGCTCTCATTCCTTTCCCAACCCCTGACCACCTAGCATTTTGAAAGCATACAAATGTAAGTAGATAGATAGGTACCACTTTGTTGGGAAGGTAATAATATTATGTGAGCCTTTGGGATATAGCCATGCTAGTCATATAACCACGGAAAATGTCTTTGGACAATGCTGGTTCCCTTTGCCAAGAAACGGAGATGAGCACTACACTCTAGAGTCAAATACTATACAACTGGACAGAGAAGCTTTTACCTTTTCTAATAGAATCAACTATATAAGGCTCTGAGTTTGAATCTGCTACAACAGGGGTGTTAAACTCATGTAGTCATGGCATCATCACGTGGCAGATCAGGACTTTTTTTGCCTTCAATAAACTGGGTAGAGCCAGCACATGATACATCCAGCTCGCGGGCCATGAGTTTGACATCTTACAATATCAAAATCCCAGCATCAAATTGAGCTCTTGCAATTCTCTGCAAAGTTGCAAAGCTAGTGGGAAAAAAAGTATATTTCCTCAAGGGGAAAAAATTGCCAAGGAAAATTTACTTGAGACAAATGGACAAGCAAAACCTCAAGAAGATAATGTAAATCCACCGAGAGAAGCCAAACAACATGACCATCATTACATCGGAAATGCTTTTGCAGCATATGGGAGTAAAAAATGAAAGCTCCCCATGCCAAGTTCCACCTAGATTCACATACGAACCCTGATTAGATTAGGCTAGTACTCCAATGAACCAGGAAGGAGGAAGATAAAAGTCAGGCACACACATTATTTCAAACATAAATGTATTTTCTCATTACAGAAGCCCTTTCGAGGGTGAAATAGATCTATTCATGGGAATTCATGGCAGATACTAAAAGCAGCTGTATGGGACTATTTAAAGATAAAGTCAAGGTAAATTCATTTTTTAAATAAGAATAAATCATTCTCCTTGTTTCAGTGTGTAAAGAACAGCTTTGGGGAAATAGGAAAGAAAAATGCTTTAATTAGCTAGAAAGAATAAAAAAAAATACATTTCAATTCATTGAAAGGAACATAACAAAGGGAAGGGCAACATGAAATGAATGAATGAATGAATGAATGAATGAATGAATGAATGAATGAATGAAATAATAAGAATGTATTTATGGGAAATTCTGATTTCTAGTGAGATAGCAAGGTTCAATACATCCAATTAAGGAGCATCTCATTGGCAAGTCAAGATTTGTAAGAAAAAGACATGATTAAAGGAGCTTCTCAGAAGCAGGCCTATCACAAAACAGAATTAACTATATAGCTACATAGGCAGCCACCTCTGTTATCTGGAAAATAATATTGGATTTTTTTTCATCTGGAATAGAAGCTTTCTCAACAGTAGTTCTATACTACTTGACATCTGAAAATTAGTCTCTCCTGAAATAAGAAACCTCAAGATAATGTTGGCAGGTTTATATGTTTGCTAAAACAGCATAGATGTTATTTTTATCTTGAGGTTCCTTATCAAATCTGTGAACCAATCTGGCATTTCTGAATCTTCTGAATTTAAATAAGTAAATAAATAGAAGCAACTCATTTCCATATGTGGACCTTTAAAAAAAGTGAACCAAAGTAATAATGATAATTTGCAAAATTTCTATCAGCAAATAAAAACAGCAATGACTCTAAAGAAAATCAAAATTTTAAAAGAGACGACAAAAACCTAAGCAACAATAGTAATATAACTGGAAGTTTGGAAAAATGGAATTGTTTTAAGCTGATGTTGAAAAATAAGGGGGTTTGCTCCATCAGTAATTGAAGTACAGAGAGTATTCTAACAATGGGTTATTTCAAACGCCTCCCTCAGGTTACTACATAAAAGTATCCAGCTAATTCCTTTTAAAGAGCTATTCTCACTAAATGTTACCTTAAGAAAATATATACACAAAATAACTAAAGAAAAAAAGAAAGAGATAATATGTTAAAAGGGCTTCCAAAAAGGTGCACATAAGGAAAAAAGTTAAAAAGTACATCTATTAGGAAAAATGCATCACAAGTATATATTTATTTTTCTGCAGATCTTTCTCATAATCACTTTGCTTTAAATTCTTGAACTTCACAAACTCAAAATTCTGTATGCTTCTAAAATGATATTGTTTGCAAACCTTTGAAACCAGACATGTATTTAATCACATTCATTTTTTATTTTATCCATTACATTAAATAAAAAGTAAAATCACCTTGTAAGAGTAATTTTATTACTTAATTTATTGATGTAATCAATAAATTATATAGCCATCCAATTTAATATTACTTTGGGCACGTTGCAATTTAAAAACTAAAATAAAAATTTGTTTAGACCCTGCAATGTATTTTACAGCCAAGATCATCCATAGTCTCATTAAAATTCCTTTTCATGTTCCTAAATTCAGTGCCTTTTGAAATCAGAGCTATTGATGCTTTATTGAAAGATACCCTTTGGCTCACAGTGGTAGCATTTGACTATTTAAGCCAACAGGTTTTTACAGATGCCCACTATTTTAAATAAAAGCTTTGGCTCATGTCATTTAACCAGATTGCTTCCAAATGTTAATCTTTTCCATTTGCAGAATTATAACTAACAGAATTATAACTAACAGTCAGACCTCTTCACTATAAACATACAATAAATGAATTGGCAAAACTTCTAAATGGCAGCCATTTTGAAAGAGGACTCTCAGTACACTCCCAAAATGTCAAAATATGTCCACTGTCCAAAAAGGAATCAGTTCATTTCAGTGATTTAAGCCGCCACATTGTTGTTTTCTTCAAATTCACAGATCTAAAACTCCACTTTAATGAATAGCAGAGAAGTGCTATTCTTAAGTGAGCTGCAAAAAAAAAAAAAAAAAAAAAATCTTAATAATTTTCTTAACACAAACAACCTTAATTTTTAATTCTATATGTTTCCTATAAATATAGTTTGTCCTAAATGGTCTAGATTATTGCATGTTATTGCTTTTTTTAATTAGCAAACTGTGCTTAGAGTAATCAGGTGTAGGCTGATGACAGATGATGTAATGAAGGCTGCACTGAAGGGCAGTATAGGATAGAGTGCTAAATAATATAATTTGAATTCTTTTAAATTGGTAGGGGAATACAGATAGATTATCTCCTTGGCATCTTAAGGTTATGAGCAAGAGTGCTGATGACAGTTCATAGTATGCAATTTATCTGAATTTTCAAAAAGCCATTCATAATATGCCATTGACAGGAAACCACAGGATTCACTGGGTAAACCTCAGAGATTGATAACAGTTTAGAGAGATGAATCGTTGTCTGGCTTTAAGAAATGAAAGTGCAAGCTTTGACTGTAAGTGATAAAGAGAGGAGGCTTTTGAGTAATTTCTCCTTATGAACTCAAAGGATAGCAAAGAAAAATTCAGGGTGAGGATGCAGGGAGAAGACCTTGTTCTTATGTACACTTGATTTCATAGTGGGTGTTAGGCACAAAATAACCAAGAGCACTCAATGAGTTCAAAGCACAGAAGAGTTTATTATTGCTATTTATACACAAGAATCTAGTCAACTAATGGTCAAGGCTGAAAAAACACCTTTGGGACAGTCAGAGCTAAATTGGTTCTAGAAGAAGAATCAATGGAATTCACAGGAGGGCCAGACTTGGATAGTGTAATGACTCCAATGACTGCCTTCCAGCTCAACCTGCTCTTCTCCTTCAGTGGACTTGTATGAATTTTGTACATGCTTGGAGTTATATAAACCCATTACATGTTAGAATCTGCATTAGTTGAGATGATACTCAGGTGTGTGATTTATTTCTTAATCTGATCCTTAAATTTAGATTTATCTATGACTTTTGTTAGTATGTTTTATATGCATCTATCTACCTATCTATCATATTTTTAAAACACACAATTACCCAGATGGGATGCTTTGTAAACAAATATTTCCAAAGCTCTCTTTTTCTCCATAAATATATCTCTCATTTAATTATGTTTTGTTAGTCTGTTTGCAACTTTCCTAAATATTCATCAGAAAATGATGAACACTATTAACTTCTCCCAAAGTGGAATTCATTTTAGCATACCATATCAGTTTGATTCCCTAGAACTCTGTGGAAGATTTCATTTGCTTCTTTTAGAGGACTGCATGGTTTATGTTTTGTTTTGTTTTTTGTGTGTAATATCAAATGCTTTTAATATTTCTCCTGTTCCCATATGGACACAGTTTAAGTGGATTAAGCAAGCAAGTTCTTAGATGTTGTGTTGAAATGAAGTCCTTAGATAGTATTTCTGCAAGATTGTTCAGTATTCTCAAACAATTGATGTTTTACTTTTGTTCATTAACCATTCTGTAATACAGGACAATTTACAAGAAACCCCCTTTCTTAGAAAGAGAGAGGGACAAAGAGAAAATGAGTGAATGAGTGAGTGATGGACTAGAAATTTTAAAAAAAACCCAACAACTCTGAGTTCTAGTCTTCCCTTAGATATGAAAGGCTGGGTGATTTTGGGTCAATCATTCTCTCTCAACCTAACTGAATTCACTCTTGTTATGGGAAAAATAGGAAGCATGCCTGAAAATATATAGCGATCTATAATCAATATTTGCATGAGTATCCCATTAATTAGATTTTCCAAGTATAAATGTATTGCATATTTACATTGATACTTTTTTGCAGCTTTAATTCTCAGTGAACAAATGACACTTCTTTAGGAAATATGACATAATCTTCATTGCATCACATTCTGCGTAAATATTTCAGTAGGCCAAATCTGAAAAAGAAATTGTTATTGTATATAGACACTCATTCTTTTCCTTCTGCTCAAATTTATCCTTTCCCGTTATTAATTTACTTCTTATAAAATACAACACATGCATTCTTGTATGTTATATGTATTCTAGAAGGTTCCATACACTTTAAGTGAAGTCAGAAAGTGGAATGGTTTGCATAAGAAACCCAATTTTTACATTAAAAAAAGGCTACTAGACATGTTTTATATCCAGATCTGTAACAGTTTTTTTAAGTACACTTGTTACAACATATGGCATAACAATGCATAATCTAAAGAGACCTCTACTAGTAGTTTATAGCCAGCTAACAAATCAAATTTAATTCTTCTATCAGTAAATAAAACAATCAGGAAAACAAAAAGGGATAACATTTCTGTGGCCTCAACAAACTTAAATATATAAGTGTATTGAGGCAATAATATTATGAACAAAGACCATTTATGAAAATCAGTGATACTGTTATGTTTATTTGCAATAGTAACTTAAAATGATTAATATGGTAATCCCTTTAAATTGGCCTGGGTCTATATGTAAGTTATAGGATAAAGTATAAATGTGGTATTTTGCCATATTTTCTTCCTTCAATCAGAGAACCAGAAGGAATGTTGCAGTGATACCATGAAGTTGCTGGAGTTGCTAAAATTTACAAACCAGTTTATAGTTTATTGTAGGTTTTAAGAAATGAATGGATTTGTCCCTACTGTTAACTATCTTTTGGGGGCATTTTAAAATATTGTTTTTAAAACTTTGTCATCTATTGAGCTAATGTGTTTGGAGATTCTCAGTCATCCAGGTCATGGTTGACCCAAATGTGCTTTTTCAAGAGGCAACTGGACTTTCTAGTTTTTCTTTGAAGACTTTGAGCTAATGCTTTATTGCAAGAGGGAGAGTGGAGACACACACAGAGAGATGGGAGGAGGGAGGGAGAGAGAGGAAGAGAGATCCAATTTGCAGGAGACTTGCAATTTAGAACTGAAATACAGTATATTTTGATTTAATCTTTCAACTAGAATGGGGAATTAAGGATTATTGGTCCACTTAACTCATTAGGATTAGGAGTAGCAGGCAACTGTGGAGAACTTCAAAGGGGCACTTTGATTCAAAATCAGTTGTTGATCAATATTTTCTAAGTGAAGAACCAAATAGAAACAGTACTATCCTTCAAAGCATTGGAGTGACCATTGTGCTTCAATTCACATGATTACAAGTGTTTCTGTACATTATTTCCATAAAAAAGGACACTACCTAGAAGAGATGATAGCATATAGGAGAGTTAATCATTTCTAAGGAAGTGGGAATGGTTGTTCTCATTGTGTTCCCTTGCAATATTACCAACTCAGAGAATAAAACTTAGATTTCCTCTTCTGTCTAGTCTTCATAGTGTCCATTGATGATAGATGCATTTTCTACATACCTGGTCTCCTGCTCAGAAATGTTTACTAAGTTAGACAGGAATTTTCTAACCAATGACTGGCCTCTGACAGACTGGATCTGGGGGCACTCTTTATTTGTAGTTCTGTTCATAATTTCTGTGGAGTCATCCAGATTTTAGTGCTAAGTAACTTGTTAAGATTATTGTTTGGTACTTGAGTTATGGACTTACACCATTTGCTACTTGACCAAAGCTGCCACTACATTTGCAGCAGGTGGCCCTGATAAGTTATATGATAAAGAGTATCCATAGTGCAAGGCACAAGGATATGTTTAAAAAGATGTACATTTACTCCCAATGCCTACCAGTCATGATTTAAAGTATAAAAAAAAATAGAACTTGGATACCTGAGGAACCATCTTCAGTTACTGAATCTACTCCACCTATTTAGTTCAACAGTAAAAAGCTTTTGAAGAAGCCCCTATAATCAGAACTCTAAATATTTGTTACATGGAGACAGTTTTCTTCTGGATGGTTTGCAGTCTATACACATATTCCCTAGGTATATGTGTTTGGGTTCCATCCAGGGGAGGGATTCAAATTTTTAACAACCGGTTCTATGGCCGTGGCTTAGGTGGTGGGTGTGGCTTGGTGGTCATGTGACTGGGTGGACGTGGCTTGGTGGTCATGTTATTGGCTGGGCATAGCCAACTCAATATCACTCACATCGAGGCATGCATCTCCTCGCCTGGCCTCTCCTGACTGTGGGGATGCTGCAACAGTCGTAAGTGTGAAAAATGGTCATACATCACTTTTTTTCAGTGCCATTGTAATTTTAAATGGTCACTCCACACAAGCAAAGTACCAGCAAAGGAGGAGAAAAAAACTCCAGAGATGTTCCTGAGACAGGAAGTTTAGTCCTGCCAAGAATGTAATAAGGATTAACGGAGAGGCAGTTTCTGTAAGCAACACTAGAATGTTTCCTTCCTGGCTTCCTTACAGGATTAGGCCAGTAATTTCTTCTAACAACCTGTTCTCCAAACTGCTTAGAATGTTAACAATAGCGAATAGGTGTGAACTGGTAGAATCCCACCCCTGGGAACTTGACAGACTTGAACCTTGGGGTGCTGTTTAACAAAATGAAATTCAATGGTGAAAAAAGAAGGCAATTTAGGCAAGAAAAATTAAATGCACAGGTACAGTATATGTGTTACCTTGCTCAATAGTAGTAACTGTGAGAGGGATCTTGGAGTCTTAGTGGACAACCATTGAAATATGAGCCAGCATTGTGCAGCAGCTACCAAAAAAGCCAACATAGTTCTAGGCTGCATTAAACAAAGGGATAGAATCAAGATCACATGATGTGTTAATACCACTTTATGCCTTGGTAAGGCCACCCTTGGAATACTGTATCCAGTTTTGGTCACCATGATGTAAAAAAGATGTTGAGACTCTAGAAAGAGTACAGAGAAGTGCAACAAAGATGATTAGGGGACTGGAGGCTAAAACATGAAGAACGGTTGCAGGAATTGGGTATGTCTAGTTTAATGAAAAGAAAGACTAGGGGAGACATGATAGCAGTGTTCCAATATCTCAGGGGCTGCCACAAAGAACTGGGAGTCAAGCTATTCTCCAAAGCACCTGAGGGCAGGACAAGAAGGAATGGATGGAAACTAATCAAGGAAAGAAGCAGCTTAGAACTAAGGAGAAATGTCCTGACAGTGAGAATAATTAACCAGTGGAACAACTTGCCTCCATAAGTTGTAAATGTCCAACATTGGAAGTTTTTAAAAAGATGTTGGATAACCATTTGTCTGAAGTGGTGTAGGGTTTCCTGTCTAAGCAGGGGGTTGTACTAAAGACCTCCAAAGTCCCTTCCAACTCTGTTATTCTATTCTAAATATATTCTATTCTAATCTAAATATAATTGCCTAATTACATAAACAAAAAAGTGAGATGATGATGATGATGATGATGATGATGATGATGATAATGATGATGACGATGATTCTATTATCTTGTGAAATCTCAATTCTTACACTACTTGACAATTTTCATACTGGCAAAATATAGTTTATTTGAATAATTCTATAACATGCCTGAGATAAGTGAATCTGCTTCTTTCATTTTCTATAGATATCTTTTTTTTTCCAATCCAAAGTTTATTGTGTGCTGTTTCAGCACAAGATGACTAGTTGTTTTAATCTGCATAAAATTTCAGATGCATGTTATACACTGTTTCCCTAATATACACACAAGGGAAAGCTTTTTGTGTACAGTTTCCCAAACCCTTGTATTTCGGTGTTCATTTTTATTCAGAGAAGTGCAAAAAATAAAAGCTAATAGCATTCTGCTTTGTCCCTTGGTTGTAAAGGGAGACTTAAGTCAGTTTATTCAAATGAAAGCTGAATTAATATCATCCCCATATCTAGACTTTTTTTCTATGTAATTTCTACAACTAGATTAGGACAGTAGAAGACCCATCTGTTCTCTTCTATCACTAGAGCTGTTAAGATAAGAACTCCCTGTGGACAGGCAATTCATCATGTCATGGCTACTAAACCAAGCATGTATTTGACATATAGTCTGGATGAATTCCCTCTTTCCTGCTGCTTATTAGAAAGCTTAATGTACAGGGAGTATTGTACATTAAGCTTCTTGAAGCCACTATTCCCACCACCATTCCCATAACAATCACAACAATAAAAATTTTGTGAACAAAGAAAAAAAACACTAATAAATATTTATTTTGGCCATGATTAATGGTTCAGCACTACAGGGATTGTCTCCTTTCATTTAAAAAAAAAATGTTTTAAATGTTTAAAAGAACAAAGAGATGGCTGATGATAGTACTCTTAATTTTGTACCCTATACGACAAAAAAGAGTGTATTGGTCTTTGACATATATATTTGATTAATTGATTGATTATGTGCCATCAAGTCACATAATCTTGGCAGCTACATAAATAGATTTTCTCCAGGATGAAATGATATCGTCAACTTGGTCCTTCAGGTCTTCCAATGGTGGTAATTTAGTCCATCCAATTATGCCCTTCCTTCCTTCCTTCCTTCCTTCCTTCCTTCCTTCCTTCCTTCCTTCCTTCCTTCCTTCCTTCCTTCCTTCCTTCCTTCCCCCTCCCTCCCTCCCTCTTTCTGGCTGAAAATTGCTGAAAAGTTAATTATTTTGTACAATGTATTCAAAATATTATTATTTAAATATGGTCATGCATGCCTTGAGAGAGAACTATGCATTTATTTGTTATATGCTCCATTTGTTTGCTTGGCTATCTACTGTATGGCATTCTAAGAAGTCTTTTTTAATATCCCAATTCAAAAGTGTGTATATACTTTTTATCCTACTTCTTCAAAGTTACATTTTTACTTCTATAAAGTGTCAAAAGGAAAACCACTTCCCTATAGGTGGTATTCAGCAAGTTCTGACCATTTCTGGAGAACTGGTAGGATAAATTTTGAGTAGTTTGGAGAACCGGCAAATATCACCTCTGACTGGAGATTTTACAGTATCCTTCCCCTGCTACGCCCACCAAGCCATGCCCACAGAACCGGGAGTAAAAAAAAATTGAATCCCACTACTGTACTTCCCACATGATTCTGATATTTATACATATATATTTGGTATGGCACCAGTGGTGGAATCCAAAAGTTCCCACCACTGGTTCTATGGGCATGGCTTGTTGGACGTGGCTTCAGGGATGGGATCGCATGCCACACACATGCTTTGTGCACACATTAAACAGTAAAAACTACGCTACTGTGCTTCTCAGCTGTTTAGCACAGCAATCCACTCTGCCACACCAAACAGCTGAAAGGTGAAAAAGGACCTAGGGGCAGGTGGCTGGGCCCAACTGCAGAACATCGGAGAGACTCAGAGCAAACTGGTTCTCTGCCAGCTGATCTTTGGCACTACCGGTACGCCAGAACTGGGACGAACCAGTAGAATACCACCACTGGTGTGGCACATTAATATATTTTCCAAGGTTTTCATTGCTGGTCTACCAAGTTCTAATTTGTGATATATTGCTTGATTACTAGTTCTCTTATTGTTAAGTTAATCTAAAAAGACAGAACTTATCCCTATTTCTTTTAAGACGAGTTGTAGTTATTTTCTTTGGAATGCTCTTTAATCTAAGTCTCATTATTTCATTCTGATGTTTTCCATGTCCCTTATCAATAATAAAATCCATTTCTGAATATTCTATCCTAGTGATTTCCTTGTACATAGGTGTCAAGATGATGTTAACAATGAGAAAATAATTTGATTGGTGTAAATTGATAACTTATTCTTCTCATTCATTTCTGTTTCTTAGGACATACAGTCTAACATTTTCCCCGGTCTTTAATGTTTCCAATTTTGGCATGTCAGTCTCTGGTTTCCATGTTCTATCAACTTTATATTGAGTTTGATCATGAAACTCATCTACATTTTCTTCTTTTGCATCAGTGGTTAGAATATAAACATGGGTAATTATTATATTAAGAGATTTACTCTTAATATAATATTATAATCTAATATTATTTTATCATTGATTGTAAGTCTTTGGTATACCCTACCTATGAACACAATGTCCCTTCTTTATGTTTTCATGTCTCCATAGTAAACAGACTGATCTTTTGACTGAAATTGTCCCAATTCCACTCCACTTCAATTCACCAATGCTCAAAATGTTGATGTAATCTTTTCGTTTCATCGTTCACTGTGTTGAATTTTTTCATGTTCTTTCTTCTGGTGTTCCATTATATCTTTGCAGCTTCAGATATTCTTTTTTACCCCTCCATGGCAACTTTAAAACACCAATGTCACTTTATCTTGTTTATCCATGTGGTACTCCTGGTAAAATACAACAATGATTTAACATTGCTTTTCCAACACATTATGAAATGATGCCTTTGCCTTTGCTGTCATGACTAAAGTGATCATCTGCCTTCAGCATCTTCCTATATCACTGTTGCCAGGTATTGGCACCTGCCGAGCTTAACTGGAGAGCTGGAATGATCTTCATACATTTGGTGACCTTGCTGAGATGATATATCATTTGCTCATGCCTCCTAGGAAAATCTCCACCAACACAACCATGATCAGACAGCACACGAGTGCTTGAGGGGGTGAAACTATTTGATACAACTCTATTTCGTCATCATTTAATACATTCTTTTAAAAATAAATAAGACATACCATTCCACTTCAATCTGCTGCCTCCAGATATGCCTGGAACTCCCAAACATCATGATATGTTCGCTTAAAATTTTATGAGAAGATTCACAGATCACATTAAATTGGCCACAAAGTTTGCATGGTGCATTAAAAACTATAAATCCAAATATTAGAAATAAGATGATATAAGTTGACATTATTTAGTCTTATAAGTTGTCCAGAGTTGTATATCTGATATGGGTGATTGTATAAATTAATGAAGTTAATAAATTCAATTGAAAATTACTAACCCAAGTTAACTAATCAAATTACCTGTGTTGCATGCAGGCACCCATTAAACTGATATCTGATCTGTCTAAACATGTTAGATGAACACAGTTGGACAGAAGAGGGAGAGGACTAGTCTGAAAAAGCTGCATAGGCATTACTTACCGTATATACT